ATATATATATACATAAAAATATAAATCAGAAGCAAGACTATTTGACTTACTGGAATTTCAGTGAGATATAACACCTCCAAAGAGAAGAACCACTGCTAACAATCAAAGTGGACATTTACTTGTGTCTCAAGGATCATGTTTTTTAGTAAGGGAAAATCTTCCCAAGTCTGTGGCCCAGCTTCTTCTTTACTTGAAAAATTCTCAGTCCAGTTGGACAGAGTATGAATGAATACCAGACATTATCTATTTCATTCTGCACCACTGAATCTGCTCTCTCTTACTCATTAGTAAAGCACTGCTGATGCCTTAGGTAGCAGTAGTCAACTGTCATGGGTTTCACCCAATTGGCAGCAAACACCATACAGCCACTCACTCACCCTCCCCACTCCCAGGGATGGGGAAGAGAATTAAAGGGGTAAAAGGAAAAGAGACTCGTGGTTTGAGATAAGAACAATTTAAAAACTAAACTACAATAACATTGAAAATAATAATGAGAATAATGATAATAATCATGATAATAGTAGTAGTAATAATATACAAATATACAAATATACAAATAAGTGATACACAGTGCAACTGCTCACCGCTTAATGACCAAGGCTCAGCCCATTCCCAGCTAACAATCTCAGAGCAGAGAGACTCCTGAAACCACAATCCCAGAAAAAAAGAGAAGAGCCCAAGTGTCCGAGAGAGAGAGCACTTCTGGAGAGATCCGCATCTGTGTACTGAGCATAACATGCATGATATGAAATATACCATTGGCCAATTTCGGCTTCAGTCCTGAACCTAAGGTCGAATGCTAAGCCAGTAATCGTGGGCTGTGCTCTGGCTGTGCTCCCTCCCAGCTGCTTGTGCACCTGCACACCAGCAAAGCACGAGAAGTTGAAAAGTCCTTGTCTTAATTAAACATTGCTTGGCAACAACTATAAACATCAGTATGTTATCAGCCTCTTCTCAGCACAAATCCAAAACATAGCCTCATACCGGCTGCTATGAAGAAAGTTAACTCTGTCCCAGCCAAAAGCAGGACGTTGACCCTTTGTATTAAGAACCACCTGCAGTGGGTGCCTCATGCATATGGCTACTGATATATTTTAGAGTGGACGTAATTTTTTATTTTGGGTATCTGCTCTGGCTTCATATATCCAAGAAAACACCCCTTGTATTTCCCCCTATAATGTATTGACATATTCCACAGGAAAAGCTTTGTCAAAACTCTAGGAGCCACTCAAGCATCACTTTAAAGGGCTCTCTATCACTCGGATGAATTTTCCCCTAATTGTATGCTTAACTCCAAAAGGTGTTTGGGGACATACTTTGTACAAAAGGTACTCTAGAAAACAAAAGTTGCATTGCTAGTGTTTCTGCTTTTATATTTCCACCCAAGTAATTCTCTGCACACCAATTTGCTTTCTCTTTTCCAATACCCATTTCCTCCTGGGGCTAGTTCCTGGGACAGAGCTGTCTTCAAATAATTTTATTATCATGTGGCATACACCTTTTTAGTCACCCCTGAAATGGTGTGTGATGCCTTTGGTTTACATCACTTGTTGGAAAACACTCCAAAGCATTGAAAAACTATTAAATTGTTACAGTATTGGATGCCAACACACAGAGCTATTAGTCTAATTCATCCTTCAGATCAAAGCCCACACAGGCAGCTCTCCTGCCTACAGCTATTTTCCTTTTACTTTCCTGCTTGACAGTAGTCCCTCATATCCCTCTGTTCTACTTTCTTTGAACATACACATTTTCCTTTAGTCATGGAAATATAATTTATGTCTATTATACTGTATTATAGATTGCAGATCAGGAAAAGTGTGCATTACTGCCTGGAACGTCTGTTTATTGTATGTTGGGTTTCTAAAAATAAATAAATAAGAAAGCCACCCCGCTTCACTGGGGAGAGAAAAATACAAAGGGGCAGGATTCGGGGGCTGGGGAGAGCTGCACTCTGTTCTCAAAGTTTAATTTCCAAGTAGAGACCTTGAAGCGTGATTTATTAACATCGTGCTGTTTGCTTTTGTCACGTTGTGGATGTGGCGGGGTGAGTGCTGGCCCCTCTCCAGCCCGGACCACCCAGCGAGCGGAGCGGAGCTACTGGCATTGCACACCCCGGTTCAAAGGTTCACCCCCATTCACCAGCTCCATCAGTCATCACTCCATTGGAGGCAACAGCAATACACACAACGATCCCCCCCCAAAAAAAAAAAAAAATCCTAACAGGCGGGCTGTCTGGGACAGGAGAATTGCAAAAACAATCCCCACCCCATCACAGAGAGTATGTGTGCACGGAGGAGAGGGAGTGTGAGGAGGGGGGAGAGAGGGAACGAGACAGGCAGAGGGGAGGGAAGAGGGGAGGAGGGAGTCCAAGCTCCGAGAAACATCACTCCATCTCTCTCACTCCACAGGAGCTGAGCAAGGAGCAGGACGATGTTTGACAACACGCAGTACCCCTATAACTGCTTTAATTACGACGGGGATGATTATCCTACCTGTAGTTCTGATGAAGAGAAAAAATTCACCAGACCAGCATACAGGTAAGATGAAGTTTTTCCAAGTCTCCCCCTCTCTGGGGAGGTTTCTGAGCTCTGGGATGGTGGGATCACAGCTTTCAGGGGAGCCTGGGACCTCTCCCCAGATGTGTGCAGGGGTCTGGACATGGCACAAGCACCGCAGCAGGCAGATTTCCCCCGTCTCCGTGTTTGAAGTGTTCATGATTTGTTTCCTCCTGTGCGGGATCGCAGCAACTCTGGCACACCATTGAGCCACCAGACCTCAGATGGTCTCCTCCGACCTCCTGGAGCCCTGGGAGAAGGGGAATTAAGTGTGTGATGTTCCAGTGGGTGAAGGGGGTGCAGATGCTCCCCAGCGCAGTGGGAAGATGCGTAGCGTAGATGTTCGCAGGGGCAGCTCAGGTCCTTCCTACGAGAAGGCAAGATCTCCAGTGACAGTGTCTCTGAGCCTGGTCTGTCTCACTGCAGCCTTCCAGCTCAGGGAAACTTTCCTAATGGGGTTGGAGAGATGGATGATCTTTCTGTAACCCTCCTGCATCTAAGCACTCTCTGCTGAGAGCCAGGGCAAACAGCTGGGTCGGGACTCAATTGCCTGGGAGTAACGCCTGCGTATCGCCCCGGGGGCTCGGGGCAGACAGGCAGGACCACGTTCGGGGCTTATCCCTGGGACGTCATGGGTCTGGGCATAGATTCACCAGGAGAGCTTTTAGAAGTGGGATATAAGCACCCATGTACCCATGTGGTCCTGAAAACTGAGTATGTGAGTGAGGTGATGGTGTAACAGCAAGTTTTCCTTTTTTCAGCTACATTGCCTTAATTGCAATGGCCATCCAGCAAAGTCCGTCAAATAAAGTCACCCTCTCTGGCATTTATGACTTTATAATGAAGAAATTTCCTTACTACAGATCAAATCAAAGAGCCTGGCAGAACTCCATCCGACATAACTTGTCGCTTAACAGTTGTTTTGTAAAGGTAAGATCAGTAACTGTATGTTTACACTGTGCAAGGCTAAAAAAAAATATATGCAGGAATAATCTCATCACTAGGAAAGAAGGGAAACAAACAGCTGAGCTGCGCATCACTTAAAATCTCTCTGAGTTGTCAATTCTAGAGATAAAGAGTGTGTACTTGTCTGATGCGTGCTAATAGATACCAAATTGAAGAGGATGCAGTTTACATCCTCTTCGTATAATGACAGGGAATGGGCTTAAAAGTCTTGTCATATGTGTTTACACAATTCTTGAATGTAAATGAATGCAGATGTTCAACAGCAGCATCTGTAACACATACAAATACTGAACTGCCTTTAAATAAATACAGGTTCCCAGAACAGAAGGGAATGAGAAGGGGAAAGGAAACTATTGGAGCTTTGCCACAGGATGCGAATCCATGCTGGATCTCTTCGAAAATGGCAATTACAGGCGAAGACGGAGGAGGAGGAATGTGAAAAGGGAACATAAAGAGCAGAGACCAAGCAGAGGGAAAAGTCCTTTATCCCCTGATATGTCTTCTGTGGACTCTGCTTTAAACAACATTTCCTCTTCTGTAAGTAAACACGAAAGAATTGAATCAGGACCAAGACTACTGGAGCCTCATGGGTTTGCTCCAAACAGCATGACCAACAGGCAGAGCCTGAGCAACTCCTCCTTAGCAAAATCGGATTCTGAAATTAAATTCAGCATTGATTACATTCTTTCAGCCCCCGACCCTTTGCCTGTCCTGAGATCTCAGTATAATGTGCAAGAAAATAAATATCATCTACTGGAGGCCCAGCAAATTAATCTCCACTTCTGGACAATGTGATGTTATTTATTCACGGTAACAAAGTCTGAGTCACAGTGTATTCAGCAGCCTCATGTCACTGAAAACCAACCGCCTGCCTCCTTGTTTGCTTCCCGAGCAGTTCTCAGAAAGGGTTACTGATTCACCAGCTGGTACTCTGTCGGTACCCAAAGAACTTTGCTGAGGTTATAGCATAAATTACAGTTCTCGATACTGGTTTTCACTATGCTGAAATTCATGAAATTCTAGCTTTGTTTTCTAAACTGTCACGAACGTCATTGAACACCAGAAGGAATTTCCTTTCTCAAGCAGAATCCGACAGAAAAGAGACTTGCTTATCACCCATTGCTTTGTTAAAGACAAAGTGAATTTGGTTTAATTTTCACTGGTGGAAATTAGGATTAATTCCACTGAGGTATATATGTCAGAACTTAAGCTGATTTAAACCAGTGTAATTCTGCCAACTTACACTGTCTGAGAATGTAAGGGAGGGGGGCTTTGTTTTCTTAAAAGGAATTACAGAAAATCACTCTGTTTTATTTTTTTTTATTTTGACATCATGTTTCAAACTGTTTTGCAGCTTTAATTCATCATTAATCAGAAAATGGAGTTATTAATAAGTGTTTAAAGTTTATTTTTTGTTGATATTCAGGGCAGAGTTGTTTTAACTCTTAAAGTGAAGTTGTATTCAAAATAATTCCAAGAAAGCTAATTGCAGGGCTGTTGAACTTTGGTAGACTTTGATGGGTAAAGTGACAGAGGCATAGGGCCTCTTAATGCCTTCATTTAAAAAAAAAAAAAATCCTCTCCCCTTGTACTATCAGAAAGCTTCCTGAGATGCTGCAGGAAGGTCCTTGAACATATTTCATTTAGCAAGCGTGAAAGGAAACCCGGCTTTGCAAGAAGCTGTATCCAGTGTTGACCAAAGCTAGAATTCCACCTGCCTGCTTTGAGACAAGTTGTGTATTCCTATTAAGTAGATTTTTATTGATCCTTCTTGCAAGTAATTACCAAAGTGGTACTTGATACAATTTCAGCAAAGCTGGTGAGATTTATAACTTACAGATAGCAATGTCAGATTAGTGAGCCCCATTTCTAAAGAAAGCCTTTTCATTACCATTTACATGCGGTGGGATATTTCAGAAGAGAACCTGATGAACAATGATGAACTGTAACAAGCATTCAAGAACTTGCTTTTATAAAACTTGTTCACAATGAATTGCTTCCCAGTACCTGACAACAACATTAGTAAAGACTCTACAAAATCTTGGCTTTGTCTTGGCTACTACAGTCTTCACCTAATGCAGGTAAAAGAAAAAAAGACATGGATTGTGGTGGTTTTAAGCAATTATATACAGAGAGATAAAATTATCTTTGCAACATGAAGTAAAGGTAAATGAAGGTATATGAGATAAGATTAAGGAAAATTGTGCTAGAGGTATGCTCAGGCATGACTTGAATTTTTATGCAGAAGCTTTGACATTTCACTAAGTTATTTTACATTGTGTCTAATATATACTGTACATTTATACTATATATTCTTATATATTGTTATTGAGAAAGGGAGCAATATCACTGCACTTACATGTTGTAAAAATGCATGATGTATGTTGTCACGATGCTGAAACTCTTGCCATATACTTAAAATTTACCATCAGTGGTATTTCACACTGATTGGTAATAAATGCTCAATTTTTTTGGAAAACTATAAAACTTGATACTTTCAGGCATTTCCATAGCATGCAAAAGTCTTTGCTTCTTCTTCAGAAAAGACAAAATGGAAAATCATGTCAGTTACATCACTGCATGTCTTCCAGACTTTAAAGGGATGATTTCTTGTGACCAAATTCTGCCTTCAAATGGGAGCTTTCAATTCTCTGTGAATCAATGGTTATTCTGGGTAATTATCTGAAAGCAAAATTTGACTCATTAGACCTGATTGATCTACTGTTTACACTGATGTTACAAAAATAAGAAAACCTCTGAGGTCACTGGGCAGATGGATTCTCGTTTGAAGAGGGATGAGAATTTGCTCCTTTAGTATTTATGCTGGGTAGTAAATAGGTGTGGGAAGAGCATGTCCTCATTTAGTATTTCAATGTATGCATGCACTCACGTGTGGGCTGGTATGGGTGCACCTCTGGGACTCTACCTACATTTATATAGTCATGCTTTATATGCAGATTTTTCTTGATTGTTTTAAACATGGCAATGCTGCTGTTGGGCTGATAGCTATGGTAGACATCTGCAGTATATTTGAAATATATATTTTTTGCTGTGAAATGTGTGAATATGATTTTTACTATGTGTTCTCTGTCAATGCTGTTAGCAAAGGTGACTCAATGACAGCAGAAGTTCCTGCTGGGTGACATCTTACCCAGGTGAACACCATGGGCGGCTGAGACCAACGGAGATACCGTTCTGGCTACCAAACTGTAAAGGATTAAAGTATTAGGAAAGACAGAAATACACCAGGTGGACTTACACCAGAGATCCAAAACCATTTTCAGTAAAATGAATTAATATTCACAAATAGCCATGTCCTTTGCTCACAGTAAAGTGCCTTTGAGGAGAGACTGTCATACTTGAGTTTCCCTAGCATATAATCAAAGAAATTTGTGTACAAATAGGTGTTAACATTTGTTTTGCAAAGGATATCAATCATATTTCAAAAAATGAAGGGACATATTTCAATTTACCCAGTATATTATATTCTGATGACTCCAGAAAGGTTTCCAGCAGTTAAAGTGAATGGCATTTAATATAGAACAACATAGCAGGGGTGAGGGCTAGACGTGACCTTATTCAAATGTCGTAGCCATTACAAAGCCATTCCCAATGTAATTATAATTAAATACTTTATGCCTTTCTTGCAAATCCTCTGATCGATCATTGATATTAACATTAATATTGTATTACCCCCAAGCAAATGTCTCCCACACAAGTGTTATGGATCACCAGGTTTCCATTAACAAAGTTGTGAGCTATTGCCGTATGCTGGTCGTGGATAAATTTACGTAAATTACCTTTTCCCAGGGAAGGGGGGAAAAGTCGAGGTTTTTTCTTTTTAGCCCTGCACTCTGAGTCTAGAGCTATTTCTTCAGCTCCATCACAGCCTGTCACTCACTTACATAAGTCATAATGAAAGAAAAAATAAAATCTCACAGAAACATCCCTCTTTGCCCTGTTTTGAAGCAGGTGAATATTCTCCAGGCACAGCTGATTTGGTACAGGGGTTAAAAGTGGAGCTGAAGCCAGGGCTGAGCAATGCAGGGCAGGGGGCTGCAGACGCCATCACTGGGCTGGTTAGGCTGTGCACAGCAGCCAAAATGAGAAAAGGTATTGGTGCTAGGTTCAATTCCTCATCTCGAGGGCTCTTCCTCGAGAGAGATGCAGAATGAGCCACAAATGTCCTATGTCCCATGCTGGCAGGCAAGGCAGGGGGAGAACAGGCCTTTCGTCCTCTCTTTTCAGGATCATAAATACCTTTGCAGTGGGAAGATGAAAGGTTCCTTTCTGGGGAGAAGCTGGGCTCAGCCTCACTGAAGGACCCCGGGGTGTTTTGTTTATTTATCCTTTTAAAGGAAGGCTTCCCATGATAAAACAAAGATTTTGATGGAGCTACGCCAGGTTGTTCCACAGCGATTTGACTTCCAATGATTTAATTTCTTAGGCTTTTGTCATTGGTGTCACAGAAGTGCTTTTTGCACAGCAAGATGATGCTCTGCCTCAAAATGAAATTCAAAGTCCTTGGGCAAGGATGCAGCATTTTTTTTCCCCATCACCAGTGACGAGAGGCCAGATAACACCCAATGCGGGCCAGTGGTTGACCTCACCTACAGGAACCTCTCCCTCAGCAGAACCTCCTCCTCATTATGGGAGAGTTAATGCAAATTAGGATCGCTGAAAACAAACCTTTTCTTTGTCAGTAAAGCCAAGTTCCCCTATTTTTCTGCCAATCAGATAGATCTTATTAGTTGAGACCCATTAACTCCCTGTATAAACAGAAGCTGTGTTCAAGGAGCATTTGAAGGGCAAACCACGCTGGAGATCTGGCTCTCTCCATGCCTTTGCTTTGTCGTGCTCCATCTTGTTGCTTGGGCTGCTGCAATCTTCCTTGAAGCTGAATCGAGATTTTTGCACAATTTTCTGGTCACAGAAGGTTTTTCTTTTGGGTAGCAATTGTGTGTTCAGGTACAAATCTTGTGTGTCCTCTCCACTCTCTACTGATAGAGGGGACACACTGGGAGGGAAAGGGGTTTGGAGGGACAGGAGTTGGGGAACAAGCTTGATGTCTGCTACATGTCTTCCTGTAATACAGAGCTGGTTGGGACTCGGTGAATGGTACAGTGCAAGGGCCCTTGCGGTTGTGTATCAGGTTTCTGTGCTTTAAATTGAGGACAGCGTCTCCCCAGTGTCCCATCACGCTCAGGCTCAGGAAAAAGAGGGAACCTAGCCCCCATGCTCCTAAGCAAACAAGGCTTTAATCTTCACCTCTAGAAGCGTAACACAAATCCCTGTCCTTGATCAGCACTTCAGATCCCAAACCCAAGACATGGAAATCCTTCACTGCTCATTCCAGCTGGCCTCTGCCTTCTGTGTCTCCTCTGCGGGTTCTCCTCCCCATCGTGTGGGTGTAAATCCTTGCAAATCCATTAACTTTGGTACAACTACATTTGGAAATGAAATAGCACATGTGAAACTGAACTTTGCATGTTATACCCAACATCTCTACTCACACGGTCTGCCAAGCTGTGCCAGCAACTCATCTCCTAGATGGCATTCTCAGAGCAACAAACCGCCCTGCCTCTTTATTGTGCCTCAGCACCCAGCTTCTAATTGCTTTCTCCAGAACGTGGGCACCATATGCACTGCAATGCACAAAGAACCTAGCACATACCCTCTTGTTTCTGCTTTACTGGGAATGTCTTTCTTACTGCAGTTAGGGTCATTAAATTAGAGAACAGGGTAGGTCCAAGTCCTATGGAACTCACACTGGAATTTTTTTACCCAGAGAGCTA